GACTCTTGGCACTCTTAGGTGAGCAGACTTAGTCAGCCTGTGTTGCCCTAACACCTCCCCATGAGTGCTCCAACACCAGCTGTGGGAGGAAGACCAGTGAATTCCTCCTGGGTCACAGGAGGGCTTGGAGGGTGTGCACGCTGCCAGGTAATGCTGAGCAGAAGGAATCCTTTCATCCATTGGGCAGGCCTGTCATGGTTCTGATTCAAGCAGCTCAGTGGTCTGCCACAGGTCAGGTGCTTGCCCCAGCTGATGGGAGATTCATACTGTTCCAGAACCAGGTCCAGCGATGGCAGCAGTGGAGGTGAAGGGGAGCTGGCTGCAGCTGCCTGCTCCCCAGGAGAGCTGGAGCTTTGGAACTGCGTGAGTGCAGGTTATGTAGGTCTTTGATGCATCTGTCTTTCCTTTGTGTTGAATTTTACCCATGGTGGTGGGACTAGTGAAAGAAGGGAGTTTGTGTCATGAGTGCTCAACAGTCAAAAGTTTGAATTTTTGTGCACAGCCACTAGGGTTTTTGAACACAATGAAGAATGCTGATGGTGAATGGGTGTTATTATAACCTTTCAATTGCAACTGTGTAAGAAGTAGGAAGCTATGATGAGTGACAGTATCATGTTGTCATTGTCTCTTTTTACTGCATCCCAGTCTAGCCTTACCTTCCTTGTGTACACATGTACTGCATACCCACAATGCACAGAGGTATCCCCGTCAAGCACCTTTCCATATCTCCAATGTGTTCCCTCAGTGCCCTTTGCCCCTTGAAGGAATTGACCAAGAAGGATATGACAAGATTGAGCAGGTGACTGGACTAGATGTGCTCAGTGTGAGAATGGTTGTCTTACTTGCAAGGGATGACATATTCAATGATGATAGATTATATAATTGTACTTCCTTCTCACCTAATTGCCCCCACTCACCTTGTCAGTCCTCACCTCTACTCCTCTCCCACCAAGAGAATCCACTTTCTGTCTATGTATTCTCATTCCAAAATCAGAGCATGAGTACACTTCACACCCACTAAGCCTCACTAACACCCAATCAGGTGATCCTCTCCTCACCCATCAATTACTCACATTTGCACTCAGTCCCCCAAATGCACAAGACTCAATCCCACAAGCAGGCCTCCATCTCCTTGCCAATAAGCAGCTCAACCTCTCTCAATCAAGTTTGATGCTCTCCTCTCAAGGCTAGAGGATGCACAGTACTGGCCTGTCTTGTTCCTCAAAGCACTGCACACCTATGCTCATGGGCTACATCTTTGTGCTCTACCACCATCACTGCACGAGCATGAATGCTGTTCCCAAATGGCTGAGCTGAGGGAAGAATGGATGGAAGGAGATCAAGCATCAGGGGGAGGGTAAACACTGGGTTCATGGTGTGGGAGAGGGAGAAGTGAGCAAGTGGGTCAATCTGAGGAAGAGGGTTCTGAAGGAGGCAAGGAGGAAGGAGGTGAGTGGACAGAATGGGTTGAAAAAGGTAGAGGACCTAGGGAGAGTGTAGTGGGTTATTGGAGTAGGGTTGGGTATCTTGAGAAGCATCTCTGCTGGTAAGATGCCCAGCATCAGGTGAGGAGGAGGTGATGCAGGCAGGGTACCATAGGTTATTGAAGCCACCTCATTGGAAATAGCACCCTTGGTAGCTGTCATGAACTGAAGAGTGGGGGAGAAGGAAAGCAGGAGTACAAGAGATGAAGAAAGACTGGTGTGTCACAATGTGCAATGCCCAGCAAATTTTCATGTCCTAGTATGGCTGAATGCTGGTCGTTTGCTCCTAGGCAGTCTATGGGCTGAGGGTGACACTGTGTAGTGTTCTTAGAAGCAATCCTGGGGGTAATTGATGGTATTGACTTTTTCAAAGACAAGAAGACAGGATGGAGGGAAGACAAGGGGCAATGATAGAGTGTTTGGGCTCATCGCTCAAGTTGGTGACACCCAGTTCAGAGGTATCCTCATCAGAATGGCCCTCCCTCTCCATGCAGTGATTCTGGTGACTCTGCCTCTGAATTGGGGCCTGGCTTTTGAATTGCAGACATCATATTTGATGGAGGCATCCTTGCCACTCTGCATCTTCCACCTTGCTCCCTTTCTTCCCCCCCCTCAAACAATACACAACACATTTTAAGCTGTACAAGGTTGTATATCTCGCAATACTCCTGCATTGTGCAGGTAATTGATGTCAAGGTTCATGAATTAATTGTAAGCATCAGCATGGAAGAGACATTGTAGGTACCACTCCCATGCCTCTAATGAAAAACACTAATAAGACAGCCATCTCAATGTTGGTGACAGTGACAACTACATCACCATCACACTCTATCCATCCCTCACTTCACTTCTTTGGT